GCTTGCGCCGCTCCCCGTTCCGGACTCTTGCTGAAGGGGCTTGGGCGCCGTCGATCCCGCCGGTCTCCGTATCCTGGACAACTCGTATCCGTGCTCCCGGTGCATCCTCAAGAAGTGTTTTTTCACGTGGTCGGCGCGATTGAACGGTTTGTAACATATGTAACAGTGGAACGGCTTCTCCTCGCGGTGGATGTTCTCGTGTCTCGTGTACAGATCCCGGCGATCCGTTCCGTACGGGCAATACGGACAGGTGTAACGCTTTCCGCTCGCCGATACCGATGCCGATGTAGGTGTCATTGTTGTGGCGTTCTGCGAAGCGATTTTTCGGTTTTTTTTTTTCTTTTTAATCTTCGCTTCCCTTCTCAAAAGGTCTCAATGGGTTTTGTGATTATCTTAATTATCGTTTTCTAACAATAGGATAGTTTTCTGTTTCAGGTTGAAGGGGAACGGTTGAATGGAATCCTTGGGGGGAAAGGAAGAAGGACGATTGATGGGCCCGACGCGTGTCGGAAGTGATCAGGACCGGAAAATAAAATTCCAAGCGATATCGATTCGATTGGATTGGTGTTCGTAAAAGTTTTACGAAAATAAAATGTTAAAATTGGAATTATTAAGGTTGAAAAATCTATCTGGCTATTTATAAATATCACTTGTAATTTGATGGATTGATAATTTGTTCGAAAATGGATGAAATGTATCACTTTCGTAAAAGTTTTTACGAAAATAAAATGTTAAAATTGGAATTATTAAGATTAAAAAATCTATCTCGCTATTTATAAATATCACTTGCAATTTGATGGATTGATAATTTAATTTGTTCGGAAATGGATTAAATGTATCACTCGCGAGGCAAGTCTCGATATATAAGCACAAATCCACAATTTGAAAATAAGTACCCGCACGTAATATGGAAAAAATGAAAAAAATTTTTAAAAAAAGGAAAAACGTAATCGATCACTGTTTCTTTTTTTTTTTTTTTTTTCAATTTTTTTTCACAATCCTCTTCGTCGAACGCCAATATTTCACATAAAATATTTCATATAAAATAATCACGTTTTTTTTTTAAATAATCTTCTTCTTCTGTTGGAAGACAAGAATAATTTCACGAAAATTAACAACAATGTTCACCACGAAAAGCGTGCAAATATCACCGTTTAAGAGTTAAAGTTTGGAGGCCTGATGATTTACCTGGTGCAAGTGTTGAGGTGCAGGAGCGGATGGCAATTCTTGCAACAGGAAGGTGGAAGGTACCGGTAGCAAAGCTGCGGGCACTGTCTGCGTTTCTTGAGTTCTTCTTGACGGAGGAGCGCTTCTTTCTGCCCTTTCTCGCAACCTCTCCAAATAAGATATCACGTCTTCCACTTTTAACTCTGTCTGCAAATAGTCCTTGCGCGGCGAGTGATGTCTGTTCCTTTCGTCAGCGAGGATTCTCGATGAATGAAGTTCCATGAAATGTTCTGCAACGTCGCGAGGCCCACCACCCATCAC